CTTTTTGCTGTTCTGATTTGGTCAGTTCCACCAACCCTTAGAGTTCATGGATTCTTTCCTCTGCTTTATAGGGCTTGATGTTGAACACTTTTGGTATATTTTGTAATTCAATTATTATATTCTTTAGCTTTGTGACTTTTATTTGGTACTTTATTATATTTTCTATATCTTTGTTAAAGTTCTCACTGTGTTCATTTATTCTTCTCGTGAGTTTGGTGAGCAACTTTATGATCCTTACTTTGAACTCTTTATCAAGGAAATTACTTATCTCCACTTAGCTAAGATTGTTTGTTTGTTTGTTTTTCCCCTGAGGTTCTATCTTGTGCTTTTTTTTTTTTTTTTTAAGAATACAACCCTTTATTTCTTCATTTTTCTGGACTCTCTGTATTGATTGGTTTCTATGCCTTAGGTGGAAGGGCCACCACCTCTCCTAGTCCTGAAGGAAGGCTTTGCGTAGCAGATGAAACTTATTGTTCACTGTTACCCTAGCTCTTGTTTGCTTTGCATAGCTTTGTTTTTGTCCCATCTGCTTATTTTATTTTTAATGTTGCCCAGTAATTGAGGCTGTGCCAAGGCATGTCAGTGTCCCAAAGGAGAGGATCTCTTTAAGCACCTAGATTTAGGCTAATTCAGAGCCATACCACAAGCTGCAGCTTTTAAAGTGCACCCTGTCCTGTGGGATCACAGGTGTTGGCCCCACTGGCCAAACAGCCAGGTGCTCTAGAGGTGTTCCCTGGGTGGCAGTGTCAAAAGTCAGGGCTCCAGACAAATGCATAAGCTCCTTTCATGGAGATGCCAGCAAGCAAGCTGTACTGAGGCAGAGGTGGTATTCACAGGCCTGCATTCCCTGAGAGTATATCTATAGTCCTCTAGATATGTGCCAAACTTGAGCCTGCCCTTAGGCCAAAGCTGTAGGACAAGCAAGGAGGCCTCTTTGACAAAAAGCCTGGGGGTATGTTTCAGTCTGCTGTCTATGCAATGCCCTGGGGGTGGTAGTCGCCCAAGAACAGCTCTTGGGTCGTTCCAGTACCAAAGGAACACAAGCCCCTCCGGTCTCTAGAGCCAGGCAATCAAGGGATGTCCAGCGGGCAGCAGCCTCAAAAACTAGGGCACCAGACAAAAACTGAGGTACCAGATGTGTGGTAAAGCTCCCCTGAGAAGCTGTCAATGTTCTGTAGCACAGCAAAGGAAGAACATTCAATTGGTGCCCACAGGCTGGAGTGAAGCAGATGGGGACTACTGAGATACTGCCCGTCCAAGGATTAAAAAAAAAAAAAAAAAAGATCGTGTCTGTCAGCCTGTCCCTGGACAGTACCCAAGTAAGCCCCTAATGTGTGCTCAATTAGATGTCTGTCCCACAGGCTGACACTTTAAGATTTACAAATGAGCTTCTTTTACATAAATTCTGGGTGCCTCTTGGTTGGCTACTTCTAAACTGGACTTTAGGTCAGGCGAGTCCTAGTGTGCAAGCCCTTTAAAAGCTGTTTCTTGGTGGGCTATAGCCTAGTAGGTCTTACAGGTGAGAGACCTACTGGCTTTTAAAGCTATATTTGTGGGAGTTCATCTCTCAGGTACAGGTCTTAAAAGTTGGAGTTCTGATGTAGGGTTCGAACCCTTCATCCCTCGGGGAGAAGCTCCAGATGTCCAGGCCCCTCTTGAATGTGTGTCACCGCGCCAGGGTGGGGTTTATGGCAAGTTGGGGTCTTAGCATCTCTTATCCTCTCCAAGGTGCTTTTTGTTTGTTCATTTGCCAATGTGTACAAGTTGGTGAGCTAGTTGGGTTTTTTTATTTATTTTTTGAGAGGAAACTGTTCCATGCGTAGCTATAGATCTGATATGTCTGGGGTAGAAGGTAAGGTTAGGGCGTCACCATCTTACACCCGAATGAGGGCTGCATATTCCTAAATGACAAAGCAAACATGATAATACAGTAAAAGACCACATTTCAGCAAGAAATTATTTGCAGGAGAAATTTTAGAATACAAGTGATCCCACAACTGTCCAATTTGTTGGTTGCTCCACTGTTTTTCTGCTTCTACTTGCGCTTCTACTACACATGCTCCGTCCTGCATGTTGGAGGCAGGGGTGGGGTGGGAAGGGGGTGTGAGTGGGGAAAGGGAACTTACTAAATTAGTATGCAATACAGATGCAATTTTCAAAAACTTATAGTAACCATTATTTTTTAAATTTTTATTTATTTATTTTTAGAAAGAGGGAAAGGGAGGGAGAAAGAGAGGGAGAGAAACATCGATCAGTTGCCTCTTTCACGTGCCCCATCTGGGGATTGAACCCACAATCCAGACATGTGCCCTGACCAAAATCGAAATGGTGACCCTTCGCTCTCCGCCCAACCAACTGAGCCACACCTGTCCCGGCAGGACCATTATTTTTAAATGATCAGTCGCAAATCACTTGGGGATTCTGTTACACTGCAAATTCTGAGTCAGTAGGTGTGACATTAGAACCTGAGAGTCTGCATTTTTAACAAGTCTGCAGAAGGTTCTGAGGCTGTTGGCTCAGGTTTAACACAAAGGAAGAATATTTTAAAACATTTGTGTTTGTCCTAGCTTTGTCACAGTTTCCCTTCGTAAGTGTGTACAGTGGAGCATTTCTGAAAAGTGTAGACATAAGCTTACTAGCATCTGAGAACAGTTGGCAAAAGAAAATATGAATAATATGTAAATAACCCATGAATAGACAGTAACAGCTACTATAAAATTATAGCAGCAATATTAAATAACATTGAAGTGAAATATATTTAAAAATTAAAAATGAAAAGCAAAGTTATTTTTCTAATTAGAAAAGTATTTACAGGTATGCCTTGGAGATACTGGGGGCTTAGTTCCAGAATACTGCTATAAAATGAATGTTAAAATAAAAGCGACTTGTAATCTTTTTGCTGGTGGGGAGGTCTTGCCTTCAATTTATTAAAAGTGCTACATCTGTGAAGCACAGCAAAAAGAGGTATGCTTGTAGTTTCACAAATACTTAAATATGCAGATACCTTTGAGCCACAAAAGAAAAAAGTGGAGTGTTCCTGTATGTATTGGATTCAAATATAAAACACTCATTTTTAGTTCATTAGCCTGGGCCACTTCAAATAACTCAGAAAAAACAATCATAGGTAATTCTGTTGGTCTATGCAGAAAAAAAAAAAGAACAGTAATTATTTAAGTAGAGTTCAAAATCTGTTTCGAATGGTAGATAAGCCAGAAGAGGGGGGCAAAGGGAGAGCAGCCACAGTGTTGCAAACATATTAAACTTCAACCAGAAGCACTGAATTATCAGTCAGAATATACCTAAGACAAACTCCAGCCAGAAAGAAATTGTGAGGTTCTGACGCTGCAAACATGTTAAGAGACTGACAGAATATATCACACATATAAATCTAAACACAATTATCCTGGATGTTCAGTGTGAATATTCTGGGAAAACTCTTTTTTCCCCTGAAATGATACTCATTTTACCTCTTTTTCCCCCCTAAAATCTGAAAGCTTTGTTCTCTTTCTTCATGTACTTATCAGTAACAATAAGTATAATCTATTTGCAGTGCTGTAGATTCTCTAATTTATGGTAAGCCCCTTGCACATGCTATATATATAGATTTTCAAACTTGTTATATGCAACAATTGCAGTTTTGTCGTGGTTAAACATAGCTTGAAATAAAAATATGCCTCTCTCCTAAATGGTGCAGTTTTTCTGTTGAATAAAGCATACAAACGCATCCATACAGAGTTATAAGTATTCAAACATTTACCTTCTCTGAACACCACCATACAATCTCTCTAGGGCACAATAACCGGCCACACAGTTATTACAGCCCCAGAAGTGTTCCACTTCTACCTCAGTACACTTGTGTGTCATTCTTTAAGGAACTGTTTTTACTGCTGGGTATATTTAATTTCACCCACTTACCTTATTGTATGGATTGTCATTCCTCATATTTTATACAATTTAGAGAAAAAAATACTGAGGCATGATATAGATTAGGATATATATTTAGTCAATAATTTTAAAGATACATAAGTCAATATCTTTACTATCATCCCGGAATAATGAGGTGCATTTCTGTATGAAGAATTTAAAGTTTGACTCATTAATTGGACATACTGACTTTACTTGAGGTTTATATGTATTTCTTCATCCAAGGAATTAGCACAGTTTCTACTTTACATAATTTTAGACCTTCTTAGTTCAAGAATTAAAGAAATTTCCTTTATATTTCTCTTAGACCAACATGTCCTCAAATACCCTAATGCAGAGAGAGTAAACTTTTCTTTTTAATTATTAGAAGAGGATTTCTACAATCTTATCTTAAACATCACTGTTTTATGGGGATACATTTTTTCCACTCCCAATTAAATGGAAAGATGTAAGTCCATGTGCTTTGAGTACCTTCAGGTTTTCAAAACATCCATCTGGATTGGAGGTGTCTTGGTTGGGGTTTTATTATTTACCATGTAAGCTAACATGAGGAGACCAAGTAATTCTTAATTTTAGTACCCAAACACACCAGTTTCTAGAAACCTCTGTGTGTAAAGCTCAAGACAGAATGTGGCCCATCTTTTCTTTCTATAAGGATCTTTTTAGGCAGACTGGTACTCTGCAATAAGTAAACTCCCACTAAAGAAAGCAGGATTACTTAACAATACGTCTGACAGAAAAGAAAAATTTTCACAGTCTAGAGCTAAAGTCATGCTGCTCTAAAGTATGAAACCAAGTGTCTTTTTTTGCTTTTCCTCCAATTGACTAAAAAAATTAGCCTAGGACAAAGTGTCAATATTGAATTAGAAACAGTATTTCAGAAGGAAGTATGGATTCATGAAGGAGTATGGATTCAGAGAAAATACTTCTGACAGAAAATCAGGGTAAGTGTTTTGGGACACAACAGAACTAGGCAGAGTGCAGAAGTTTAAGAATGTCTTTTAATGGTTGAAGTCAGTGTCTCTGAGGTGACTATGAAAGCAAAAAATATTACAACAAATAACTATTAATACATATTTTCCTTGTAGTCTTTCATGCAATAATTCCTTTATTCTCATTTACATCTTTTAATACCACACAGCAGCCTAAAGTTGTGAAGTATAAGTTATACGAAACTGAGTAGAAAGATCAAAGGCTACTCAGATTTCCAGAAGAGCTGCAGAATGTGGAAAATGACAAAGTCCTTAACATGGAGAGCCAAAATTGCTAAAAATGACTTCTATTTGCATAATCAGTGACAAAATAGACTCCCATGTTGTTACAAAGTAAGAACATAGTTATAATGCCTGCTGTTTGCTATACAAAGAATTCCATAGAGAAAGAAACTTAATGTATAATAAAGGACTCATAGGCTAATCATTTATTTTCCATTGTTAAATGTCTTTTGAAAATAATTGACGCTCATGAGATGCAATGGACTGATGGTCCTGAGGCCTGCTGCCACTGAACAGGGACATTGCCCAGTGACGGTGTTTTCCCTTGATGAAGAAGATGCGTTCAGGATCCAGATTTTGTTGAGAATGTTCACTCTTCTGCTGAATTTGTCACCAGGAAATCAATTAGTGAATCAGTACCAAATAAAAATAATTGGTTTTTGCTTAATCTTGGTCCGCAGAAACTGAAATCAATTAGACTGTGTGCATGAAATTTTAAAAGGTCCTGGTTTCTTGCTCAGATTACAGATTTTAATGACATTTTAGTAATCCTTTAGAAATGTATTGCTGCTTATTGAAGAAATGGTGGCCCTATTCATTTTTGCAACTATAAGATTAGGTATGTTTTGTAAAAATAAAGCATGTTAAATCTTCATTTTGTAGGTCAATGTTAAAAACGGTCCTGATGTTGCTGGTACGTAAATGCAAAGGCTCGTTTGCTGTCTAGAAAGTAGAAGAAATGTTACTGTTTATCAGAAAGCAGTGGGAAAATAAAACAGGTCTCAAATGATATACATTCAAGATATCACACTCTGTTATTAAGCCCAATTTGTCAAGCTGCAGAGAAAAGTTCTCTGGTAGACTTCGTAGATAAGACAACACATGTTCCCATTCAAGAAAGATGAGCATCTCAGCGCTCAAGAACTGCACATAACCAGAAAAGGAGTGCTATCTGATTCATCAGCTCTAGAAAAGCATTTCTATTCTTGGTTCTCCCTTAAGACCGCCTTCCCTTTAGAGGTGAATATACTACTATTTTTGAAACAACTATTTGCTTATTCTCTTTGTGATCGGTTGAATAAAACTACTCATTTGCTCCACCATCTGATATTTTATTTTATTTTGTACACTTATCTCCTGTTTTTCCAATTGTTTACAAGTCTTCCCAAAGGCAAAATTTTATAATATTCAAAACTGAGGCTTGTTTAAGAAAATACACATCTCCTGTGAGTCTTCTAAATGTAGTAAGTCAAGTAATTTTCAAAGAAAAAAATTTCACTCTACTTGTAAAAAAAAAAAAAAAAAAGGCATGTGGGAATCCAAGGAATCTGACATTCAGGGTTCATTAAGCAATGGTAAAATTTATCATGTAGTTTTACTAGAGAATACCTACTGAAAAAAATTTGTAACTACTATACTCTCTTTTGAAAACATGTTTTCCTACTAAAACATTTTTTTAATTGTTTAATTTTCAGTGGACTATTTTCTCTCTATTACATAAATGATTATATGAATACCTTTGTTTAATAATAACATTTATTACTGCACTAATGGTCTTAAAGGTGATGCAATACTTCCTTTATTTATTATAATATGAATATACTAGGTTAGCATTTTGAGTACATCCTGTATATGCATAATTGTTCAGTCTTCTTTTCAGTGAATAAATAGTGGCAGAAATGATCAGAACAAAAGATTTGGTTACCTTCCTAAACATAAGCACTCAATCTCACAAAAACAAAATAAAGAAATACTGGTCTAAAAATTCTACTTTACAAAAATCATCAATTTGACTGATACACAATTTGAAAATGGACAATTCTGCACTGTTAAAATTTACAGTTTTCTAGAGTGTCTGCTGAAGATAGAATGGATACTAATGAATCCCTGGCTATTGGAAACTCATGAAATTGTATTAGGGGCCAGATGTGATAGTATATGTAACATATTTGGCATAATCTTGGCACATAGTAAAAGCTCCATATTTATCAGTGGCAGCTCCAGAATCTCTATATAAGACAGTTTAGGAGCATCAATCGGATTGAAAGTATAGTAAGAAGACTTGTTTTGAGTTGTGATTTTTAAGCAAGTATATTGCTTCTATCTAATTTTTTTTTTATGCTCCTGGGAAGGGAAGGCTGATGAAAACTATGGCTGAAGTGAAACATTCTCCCCCACAGGCCACATTAATGGCACCTATAATTATTTTTTAAAAGGCTTCCACTTAGGAAAGATAAGATCAGACATTCATTCCTGTTTATGTACACGGTGACACAGACACTAATATCTAAAACACAGAGGCCTGAACCACCTGTACAGTTTTGCTAAAACTCAACTCAAACATTGTCCACATTTATATGACTTTTCCTCTACAATCTAATTTAGGTTTTACTATGTTGAAACTATTTTTTTCTATTCTCTTGTACTGTAATAATCAAATTTTAGCTCATGAATTTTAACTGTTCATCTGGCTTCCACATGAACACCTTGATTTTGGACAGTGCATGACCAGCATGTCTATGTGTAGCAATCCTGTATTTACTGTTATCTTCATTTTAAATTTCATTTTACTTCAGTGTTTACTTTCAATGGCATATTTTATCTCTATCATTTATTATTGAATTTTTAATTTCTTATTAATTTCTAGCTTTATTGTTTTTTATATTTCCCTTTAAAATTTAATCTCCCCAATATCTACTATTTCCAACTTTACAAAAGCTTTTCTAGGCAATATGTTATTTTTAATTTTTAAAATAATTAACTAGAAATTATCAATAAACAAAGCCAGTATTTTACACAAAACTATGTATGTAGTAACTTTTCAAAGGTGACAATTTTACCTTTTATCTCATTCCTCTCAGAAAAAAAATGTAATATAGTGATCTGTTTGGTATTCATAGGTATTATTTGCTCATTTAATCTTCATTTACAATAAGCATCTCAAAACTTCAAAGACATTTAAAAATGACAATTGGCTAGATATGTCCAGAAAGAGTTACAACCTACTTTATAACCCCTCTTTGATAGAATGAAAACAAGTAATACATAAAATAGTGTTACTGAAGCAATATATATATATATTTTAGTATATACTTACTTATTTTGTCCTCTTTGATCTGCATGCACAGTATGAAATCATGAAAGCAACAAACATCACCATACCAACACTGAGTAAGGCGATTTCTACCTTGCTAAGGAGTTTTATTTTTCCAGTTACTTTATCTCTGAACATTGCTGCCTTCTCATCACCAATGGTACCAGTCTGTAATCAAGTTAATAATTAGCATTATTTGCATAGATCAGTGGAGCAAAATACTTACAATCTTCTATTTATGTATCATTATTTTCTCTGAACACTTACATAGGTGTTAGTCAACTGTATCTATAAGACAAGACACTGAAATTCCCTTTGCTTGCAAAATAAGGCAATAAGTGCCAAGACAGAATACAGAGTGAAACATAACCCTCCTCTTTTTAGACGTGTTATCTGGCACTCTTCAATATACTAGGCTCCAGATCTTTACTGTCTTACTAAAATTTTTCACAATTTTCCAAAGGATGTTTCCTAGTGACAGAGGAAAATGGCAAGGGTCTACTATTTCATTCCCTCTAAAAACATTTTTGCAATCCATTTCCTAAATCTATGCCTAATCAATTTCATTGTTTACACTAAAAAGATCTTGTGAGACAACAGGAAAGAGGCCTAAACCTGCTGTAACCTGCCTTCCTTTAGCTTGGTTGGCTTTTATTAACTGTAATATTCAGTGAGTCTTGAATTATTTGGAGTTAGATGAATGAATTACTCTTCCTAATGCAAGTACCATGACAATAAAAAAATGTTTTTAGATGCATTTTGAAAATGATCTAAAGTGATAAAAAAGTGCTTTATCTTTCTAAAAGGAAAACACTGAAAACTAACACGAGTTTGGTACTTCTGTGTGATTTGGTTCTCTCAAATAGCTATAATTAATAATATATAAACTCATTTACATAGGCATTGAAAACACATACAAGTTGAAATACTATACATATACAGCATGGGGCAAAAGTAGCTTTACAGCTGTGTGTATGGAAAATAATACCATAATTAATACATAATAATACAAGAATAAACTATTTCATGTACTCACAACTGTATTTCATGTATATGGAAAATAATACCATAATTAATACATAATAATACAAGAATAAACTCTTTATTTCATGTACTCACAACTTTATTTTCCTTCACCTTGTATATTCAATTTTGAAAGGTCAAAAGCAGGTTTATATACAACAAGGTTTACTGCCCTTAATGACTCATAGATTAAAAATACTAACCTCATTAAGCCAAAGAATAGGCACTATATAGTTCCTAGTCAGACGCTTTAAAGGCCTGTAATATACATAAAAAAATTTAAAAATGTATTATTACACATATAAAATACATTTTAGTAATTACCAGTGTAAATATTCAGAAATTAGTTGTTCTTGCAACTTGATTAAATTCCTTGATTTTTGTTCCCTGTAATAAGTCATTTAAATTTTAATATGGTTGTTTCTCAGACACCCTTCTTTCTAAAAATCTTTATAGCACAGATTTTTTTCTAAGCACAGAAAAATGTACTCAAAATTTGTTTAAAGTGAAATATGTATTCTAGAAAATATTGTCATAGAAGTATTTGGAAAACTAGCTAAATGAGAGATACTACCCAATAGTTTAAAACATTCCAAAATATATGAAATAAATACCATTTCAGTGAATCCCATATATACTTCTAAATCACAAATGAAAGGTATAAGCATTTAATAATTATTATTTAATGACATTCAAGCCAAAGAGAAGTTGAAATTTTATATTATTTCCACTTACTTTCATAGATTAACTCATATTCTTATGAGAAAATAAAAATCATATACTGATAATCTTGGTGAAGAGACTTACTCAAGTTTTTTTGCTGGCTTGACTAATAAGTTGACCTGTAGCCGTTTTGCGAATTGCAAAGTAAATCCAGTTATCTGAAGAAAGAACAAACTACAATTACTATTAACTTAATTTTAAAACATTATTTTATAATATCCAAAATATATTTTTACTGCTACATAGCACTTAAGGTGAAACTGTTCTACATGAACTTGTAAAATTTATTAAATAATTAGTTGGGCATATTAAATATTTACTGTCTAACTATGCACAATACCAGGCACACATGCATACACATGCATGCATTTGTGCACATACATGCACACACACATATCATTTCTTGCCCAACCTAATTTCAAGGTTTTAGTTAGATTTGTGATATTTACCAGAAATGGCTTTGGGGAAATCAACAACAACAATACTGAAACTTAAGTACTTACTCAGTTTATTTAGTTCTTAAACTATGCATGGTCAAATATATATTCAGTTAGAATTCATGTATCATCAGATTGCTAATATTATCATTATTTAAAATAAAACATTACTACTAAAATTCTGCCTTTCATTTAATTTTTGAAAAGGAGAATACAAAAATAATTTAAAAATTAAAACTGCATACTTACAGGATTTTTAACTTGCCCTAAATTCACATATATACACATAAAATTTCCTTTGATCTCTCATTATATACAGTGTCTCTTCATATAAGCAATACCTGCAGTTAACTATAAAATAAGCATAAACTAATAATTTATATTAACCTGTTTTAAGCCAATTAGAATTATTCCCATAATGGGTAGTCCTGACCTATGAACCATTAAAAATGCTTAAAAATTTTCATATTCTTAAAAGCTAAATTTTTTTGTCATGTATAATGCCCACCCACATTTTAGTACTACCCATGTATAATGCATATCTTTATTTTTCCCTCAAAAATATGGGCAAAGAAGTGTGCATTATACATGGCAAAATATGGTAAATTAACTTGATATGTTATAAAGCAATAGAAAAAAATCAATGTAATTTTCACTGAAATAAAAGTAATTAATCAAGATTGTGATTCAATAAATGTGATCAATAAATGTGATTAAGAAAGAGAGAACTTATTTTTTCTTTTACTTTATTTAAAAAAACAATATTAAAAAAGTCAGATCAATGGTGTATTTGCTTACAGGTTCAACATCTAAGTATGTGCTGTGTTCTTCTTCATTTGGATGTAAGCCGACAACAGTTTCTAAAATTTCAGGACTTCCATGTAGGAAATGAGGAAGCGAAATGATCACGGGTTTTCCTGAAAACAAGTTTTAAAAATAATTACGGATAAATCATTTTTCTCATTTCATATACCACTCAGAAAAGTTTCCTTGAAAATAAAACTTTTTAAGTTAAAAAAATGCATAGTTGAACACAAATTTCGGGGGATAAGGGTGACGGAGAATTATAACATCTGATCACTATTGTACAAAAGTAAAATACAAAATTCTGCATCATAATATTAACCAGTCAGTTGATATCTGTTGTTTATTCCTTAAGTGTTAATTTTTAATGTGTAAGGTTTAGCTGCTGAACAGTTTGAACCACATACGTTCATGTTTTAGGCAGTAATATTTCTATGGATTGAGAATTAATTAATTTAAGAGATTTTTCTTTCTTTCCTTACACTTCTCCAGTCTTAAGAAGGTGAGTAAAACAAGAGAGATCCCAAATTATGTGTAAGTCAATTTTTGTTTTGGAGGCATACCAAAAGATATACTTATTTTTATGTACTATTTTTACGAAAAGAAAAATGGCAGATGAATAAACTGGGATGCCCAAAGGATTCTGGAATTATTTTTCTTTTACCAAGTCTAAAAAAAGCACAAGGATTCTACATAGCAAAGGAAACCATAAAAAAAAAAAAAATGGAAAGGAGAGAAATTGTTTGCAGACAAGATAACTAATAAGTAGTTAGAATCCAAAAATCCAAGATATACAAAGAACCCATACAACTCAAAAAGAAAAAGAATGAATGAATAAATAAATAAATAAATAACTTAATTAAAAATGGAAAAGAGCCTAAATAGACATTTCTAAAATAGCACAGGAAAATATTAATATGATATAATTAACTTTTGCAGTGCTGAAATGCAATTGGAACCTTGAACACAACACAAAATCAAAACAGAAATTGCCTACTATCGCCCTTACTTTCTGCCCTAATGAATTCTTGCTTTAAATTTTCGGTGGAAAGGGATCCTGGGTACAGGTAATATTTTAAAGAATACTGTAAATTATGTCACAAACTAGAATATTGAGAACATTTACTCACCTTGTTTGCATTTGCTAATGTCTAGCAAACCAGAGTATGTACAATTATTTGTGATCTCTGCGTTTAGGCAGAAACAATGGTTATCTGGATTTTGAACTGGAGATGCAAAGGCCTTGGGTGGAAGACCAAATCTGTACACAGAAATTCCTTTCAGATCATGTTCGGCTGTGAACACAGCATAGATGGACCTAAACACAGAGAAGAAAGAGCTTCACTCTAGGAAACTGAAGTACATTCTAGAGATTCACTTTTTCTTATTTTTAGATTTATATTCTTGCTTTACCCTAGAAAAATCCAATATACTCATTATACTCTTTTTTAATTTTTTAAAAAAGTTCTTGTGAAATTTTAAGGCATACCAGAACCCAATACCTTATTAATAGCTATTTTTACCTTTATTTTCAAAGGCTTCTAAGAATAATTTTTGCTTGTGAAGTCCCATGGTATATTGATACTACAGACATTTCTCATAACTTATTTTCTTTATAGGTTAAATACTTATATAACTGCTTCAAATCCTTTTTTGTGTGTGTAATGAAATAAAAATAAAATGTCTGTCTTTCAAAACAGCCATGGAGAGAAAGACCTCTTGCTTGCAGTGGGTGTGCATGTCTGTGCTTGATATAATGTGTCCTATACTCTGTCACTCGCCAGGTGTCCACAATAACCCAGATAATGTGCTGGGGCTCAATAAATATTTCTTCCAATCTCCATATAACTTTATGTAAAGAAACACTGCTTTCTTCAATCTTACAGATAAGGAAAATATTCAGAGGTAGTAAGTACTTGCTCACAACCACATAGCCTTTGGGAACAGGGCTAGGATTCAAGCATATTGCTTTGGGCTCTAGTGCTGTTTGGTATCTACTAGGCCCCATCAATTTGAAAAGATGCTGTAGTAGAGGTAGAGCACATTAATTAACATAGTTTTGTGAGTGACATCATCTTCTTTGGACATCTTTAAAAAAATTGGGCATGGAATGCTAGAATTGACTGTTATACTAGCCAAGTATAAACTAGTATAAACATAATCCTAGTTTAGTAAAAGAAAGAGTTCTGGTTAGAAATTATTTATATTATGCATAATATCCTTCCATATCTTAATTTTTTATTGTACTTTATTGTTTATGCTATTAATAAACACATTATGACTTCCATATTATACTTATTTTCAATGAATCAAGAAAAGTTTCATTAAGTGTATTTCATTTTTCTCAAATAATATTACTAAGTATGAGCTTCTTGGTCTGTATTTTATTACTTGGGATAAACAGTTCCAACTCAGAAATATACCAGTGTTTTTGTCTTACCTGCAAATGTCGGAGGAAAAGAATTGCAGTACCCGTGTCTTCTCAACAAAAGGAGGAAATGAAGCTGCATCTATTTAAGAATTAACCCAGTGACAAGGGATTAGATGTAATCTGTGTCCTAGAAAAATCTAGAAATCTCTATCTCAGCTTGGTCAACTAAATAATGCAAATTTTATTTGTAACTTTAAAACTCTCTAGTAGCCACATTTTTAAAAAAATAGAAAGAAAAAAGTATGTTTTAATTAACCCAATATATCCAAATATTGTCATTTGAACATGTAGTAGAGTGGCACCATTCTTACCATGAAATTGATTTGGAACTCCTTTTTGGTTTGCATTATACTTGTTATAGTAATTAATTCACCTGCTCTAATGGCTAATATTTTTTAAAATCATCTTTTAAAGTTTGCTCATTATGCAGAATTTTTTGCAAATGGTTTGAGAATATATCCACCAAACTAGAAAGGGCATTTTTTGAGTTTATTGAATTTCTGCTATGGTTGTGATCTATGGCACACACTGGATATATGAAGAAATAGCAACATAATTCCTCAATTTCCTCTGTAGGTACATATCACCAAATGGGCCACCCCTGAATGTTCTTACTCAAAATGGTAAGTTCTGTCCTTAACTTATGATTTTCAGTTTCTTTTTCTGCTAAGTCCCCAACTTGTAATCTCATTACCTTTCATTTATACTCTTGTGATAAGTAAAATATAATAAGATCACAGTGAACTTGATCCTGGCATTAAGAAAATTGAATATTAAAGATTACCTTAAACTCTCCAGATAGGACCCTGAATGAGTATTGCCTATAACTGTGTTCCCAATACCTTAACCACTAAAGAAAAATAATACATTGAAAAGCTTTAAAAATCTATCTGGAATATCACTGAATATTAATTACATCATAATAGTACTAGCAATTACCATGGGCTATGACCACTAAAAATAGCTGATATTAACAGGGTATCAAAAAAAAATTCAGCCCTGGCTGGTGTGGTTCAGTAGATTGAGCTCTGGCCTGTGAACCAAAGGGTCGCCGGTTCGATTCAGGACATAAGCCTGGGTTGCAGGCCAAGTCCCCAGCAGTGGGGCATGTGGGAGGCAACCACACATTGATGTTTCTGTCCCTCTCTTTCTCCTTCCTTTTCCTTCTGTCTAAAAATAAATAAAATCTTAAAAAAAACCACATTCAAGTGTCTATCAAAATTTTTATTTTATGTCTCTTCAAACTTACTGATGAAGGTAGAGGAAGCATTTGTAAATTGTGATGAAAACACATTGGGACTTCTGTTTCATTTGTCTCTTTTCCCTAGTGCCATTACCAAGAATCTACCTCACAGGTGTCACAATCAGAGTACCCTGCATTGTCCAATCTACCTTCACTCCTGGTTTGTTTAACTTCTGTTTCCTTCTTAGACACTTGAACTTCATGCCTGTTGCGCATTTATTTATACTAGTGACATTAATGATTTCTCTAGCTTCTCTTTTAAAACTTCTCTACTTCTTAGCTTTGGAAAGAAATGTTTAATGATTTTTGTTTTTCTTAAAGCCTAAAAGGACCCTTTAGTGTTTAGGGACAGCACAGTGTATTTCACTCTGCAGTTAAAGATCGAAGTGTCTTACTTATGCAATTACAAGAGCTAGTAGTATTGGAACACTTTACAATTTATTTGCAGAAATGTTTTATTTAGAAATTTCTTCCTTTTTTTTCTTTCATTCATCCCCATGGCTCAAAGCTTTACAAAGCAAACTCAAGTGTTTGTTTGTTTTTTTCTGTTTTTCCATAAGGGAATGATAACAAAATTAAGTAAAACTGCCAAAGTCAGTAATACTTTGGTATTCTTTGTGTTTACTTTTCAGTCCCTACTTTTTCCATAACTTTGTATTTGATGTCTTCATCTTTATTATATTGTTTTCCTACATGGTATTGCCTCACCAGCTTTATAAATATAATTCTTCTGCCTCTACTTCTTAGTTTTTAAAAGCTTACCTATGATTTTAGTTACTCATGGTATTTGATTCCCATTCCTCTTTAAAATCTTAATTCTTATATTGACAGGCATATGTATACTTTGCTTTTCTTCAAGGAGTAAATCAGCTAGGTCTAACCACACTCTGAGTTCATGGTGCTGTCTTTTTCCCAATTCTAATTCAGAATGTCCATTTTTTCATATGTTTTTCATGACCAAGAGACATCTAACCTTGTTTTTTGTTGTTCTTTTCTCTCATTCTGTCCACCTTATTAAAAATGGATGGCCCTGTCTTGCAAATTCATTGATTCTACCTCAGCTTGAGACCTCACGTGGAAGTATGATTTACCTTTTGTAATTACTCTGATATTTTTATTTTTTCAATTTTAAATTATTACCTATACAGTATTTACAAAAGATGTGAATAGTAACCAGTTGCCTAAGTTTTTTTTTTTAAACCTCTTACTTCCATTACCAGAAAAAAGCTCATTATGTAAAGTTTTTACAAATCAAATATTTCCCTAGTAATTCAATAAAGGCTAATCCTTGATGGTTAATCTTTAGACATTTTATCACATTAAACAGATATTTACTAAACAGATATAAGAATAGAGAGTCTGAATTATGTTCTGGGGGTATAAAGACAGGTAAACACATACTCTAATCTTCAGAAGCCTGTAGGTATTGATAGTGAATTTGTGGGTGAGAGGGAGGTAGGTTCATTATGATTATTACAAAGAAAAATGCTCTTACCTGTACCATTAACCATGTCACAATAATCTGTCCAATAATCGAGAGTCCTTATGAATAAGAAGAAAATAAACAAAAACATTCTCATTTCAAGAGCACTTTTCTCATGGTACTCCATTTACTATGATGCAATACTTCTGCTAAAATAAATTTTAGTCATGATAAATGCTAAGTTTAAGAAATGTTCTATATCCTTCCTTCCATATTTTCTTTGAAGATTTATCTTGTTGAAATAAATTAAATGCCTGGTACCATTAAGTAGCCAGATTATAAAATAGAAAAACTGCTTAAATAGAAACAATTTGGAATAGACACAGTTCTGAAAAAAAGAAAATTGAGAAATATTGACCAGAAATTCAGATCTCTACTTAAGGGATTTTTTCCCCAATGGTAGGAATAAATTATTTGACAGTACATTGAGAGGTCAAACTGAGTAGAAGAAAAATATTCAGTGGGTAACGATGTAAGCTCTGTATGAGGGAGAAGAGGAGAGTGGGGAAGAGGAAAGAAAAACAGATGGTTGATCAATGAGACTGGAAACATGTAGATAGTCAATTTATACCTTCCCTTCCTTTTAACTCTGGCATGAGCTGGCATTAAAGGAGGACAGAGTTTATTCATGTACACCGAGCTGTCTAGATAAGATTAAAAGCAATATATGTATTTTGCTCTTTAAAATCTTAATTCTTAAATTAATAGGCATATGTATACTTTGCTTTTCTTCAAGGACTACAGTCAGCTAGATCTAACCACACTCTAAGTTCATGGTGCTGCCTTTTCTCAATTCTAATTCAGAATGTCCATCTTTTCATACATTTTTCACGACCAAGAGACATCTAACCTTGTTTTTTGTTGTTCTTTTCTCTCTCATTCTGTCCACCTTATTCAAAATGGATGGCCCTGTCTTGCAACTTCATTGATTCTACCTCAACTTGAGACCTCACGTGGAAGTATGATTTACCTTTTGTAATTACTTTGATATTTTTATTTTTTCAATTTTAAATTATTTCCTATACAGTATTTACAAAAGATGTGAATAGTAATCAGTTGCTTTCATATACATATGAAAGCAATAACAAACATAGTATTAATAGTTTCTCTGTATTTTCAGCCACTTTTGGTGATGGAAAAATGTTTTTTTTTCCTTATTCCTAACATATCATCCAGTGAGATGTCAGTGCAAGTTGATGGTTCTTTTTAAAAATAGAATAAGCTGTTAATCATGCTCAGTGTTGCCACACTCAGTTAAACTAACTTTATTATAATCTTTAACTGATGGGAAATTCTTACTGCAGTTAGGAGCACTTAGCAACTCTCCTCAAAATCTTGCGGTAATATTGAAATGGAGGAAATGTTCACTTTCCTCAATATATAAACAGTACTGTGGTTTTCCCTGAAATGAACATGTAGAAGTATTTGTTTTCCTCCACTAGACTTTTCTATAAAAGTATGTGACTATGGACTCTGTATAAGAAAAAGAACTACACTAGTGAGTACGTAACTGTTGGAGTCAATTTTCATTTATTATAGTCAGATGTAAAGAAGTGGTTACTTAAGCTCTTTATTTTCAAGTTTAATATGTAAATTTTAAAACTACTTGAAACACTAATTTTATATTTGAATGGATAAGAATTTTAAAAAGCTGAGTTATCAAACAAGAAATAATTTTGAGAAATTCTTGAAGGGAAAAGTTTGCATGGATTCATTAAGCTTTTATCTTTATAGACACATTAGGGCATGCCAATGTAATGAACAATTTTTACTTGATATGCTGAATAAAAAAAGTTAAAAAACCCAGTAAAAATATTTTTATACCTACTAGATGGTCAGTTGATACACTGATTTTCTCCCATTTCATTTTGTGGTTATCTAATTGGTTGGGTGCTCCATTAGGCTGGTTATGCAGCAGAAATGGAAACAGTCCCTTTGGATTTCTTAATGTAAGGGAATCTGTACATACAGGTAAACCAAACCCTAAAATCGGGCTGACTTTTAGCAGCTAGGCACTAGTGTGTGACTAGCTGTCATAACTAAAGCGTTAATGCCCGGTAGAAGAGGAGTTTTCAGGGCTGAGATACAGACAGATCTGTTTCATAGGTGGGTGTCTATGCTGTGCTTTCCCAGTTAAATGAACACCACTCCTGCTTTAAAGTACCCTCGTAATGCAGGCACACACACTTTACCTGGATACTTACTTTTTACCTTTGTAAGTGTCAATTACAGCAACTTTGTTTACGTTATCTTTTCCATTGAAAACAGTATAAACTCCATCTACAGTGTTGTTGTACTAAAAAGACATGTACAAGAAAAAAATACCTTTAAAACAACCCATACTCTCCAAGTTATAAAATATGTAATTAACTCACTTTCGCATTTCTCAAAGACTGGTTATTCATAATTATTTTATATGTTTTAAAACATATACGCAATGAAATTTTAAAATTATTGGTCTTTAACATGTTAAAAAGATAGAATATAAAAGATGCCTAGAAATAAGTGCTAGATGCTGAGATAAAGAAAGAAAACACATCAGAAGTGTATATAATTCAGACTCTAGTACTCTTTGTCATAATTAAGCCAGTGAGACAATTTCAATTACTACTAATATATTGAAGTGAGGTGATTTGAACAAAACCTTTGAGAGCAATGATAGATTTCTAGAGGTATTCTAAATATTATGATCCTGAATAAGTGGTTACCAAAAATTAGGTATACAAAATTAAAAACAGAATTATCCAAGGAAATGGTTATGAATATTTGAGTTAAAAAATAATAACTGAATCTCTGATCCCTTAAGACTCTCTACAATGATACTTAATTTTAATTGATAGATAATGTTGCAATCATAAACACTAGCTTACAGTAAAATAAAAATGAACTGGAGAATATAACTAATATCAAATAGAGTGCCAAATCATAGTCAAAATTCCAATTCAAGGGTCAGTTTGTCCTATTTATAATTCAAAATATTAAGCTGTAGCTAAGTCTATTACTAAATTCATGTTTTCCTTAATCTACAAACTGTTATTTCATGATATTATAGACCACTAGAAGTTCTTATTAACAAACTCCATGAAATAGGGCATTTATCAATCTAGTGTGTACAAATTTAGGCTTTTAAATTTATATCAAAACAATTTATAAGAGGTTTAGAAAAGAAGGAATGATAGAATGAATACATTTAACAAAATAAAAAATACGGTATTAAACGATATTTTTGAGAAGGTAAATTAAAACGGAAAAAAGTGCTCAAAGCCTTACCAGCTTATAATTTAATTTTAGACAAATTGTGTATTTATTGAAGAATGAAAACTTGATTAAATATCAGCTTCTTAATTTTAAATTTAATTGTTAAATTTAATAGATAAGTACATTTTCTGAACTTAGAATCCTGAAGCCATGTGAGATAAAGACTTTCTAAGGATTAGAATATATATTCCAAGATAACAAATAGGGTTAACACACTAAATTATAAAATTATGAATTTCCAATGCCATTATATTTATCCAATTAAAGTATAACAATATCAACATTCATATTTGGTACTCACAGGATAAAACACACCAACTGTTGTACTAATAGGGTTTGGCACCAAACTCAGGAATGGATCTGTGTAGCCCCACAATATTTCTTTCACACTTCTCCTTTGAAACAGAGTTGACTTTGACCTTTTGATAAGTGAATTGAGTATCGTTTGAACAAATGCATTTGGATAGAGATGGGGTACAGCCTACAAAAAAATAACACTATTTAAGACACCATTTGCAGTATTAAATATTTAACAAATAAATAGATTAAATACTACAATTAGGTTTAATACAATTTTAAAAACTATATCTCTAAAATTACTGCCAAATCTTGCCAGAACTAAAAGTCTAATTTGTCTAATCCCTAGATAAAGACACTTGAGCACAGTGTCAGCCACAAGAAGATATTCAAAGTCTTATTTTTTTAATGTTACACTTTAAGTGGTTGATTCAGTTGATTTTTTCTCATCTTTTCTAATGACCAAAACTTCATTCATCTAACGACATAGAGACAAAATAAAAACTATCTATTGATAGTTCCAATAAGGAGATTTTAGAGTAATTCAAAACAAATAATTTTGTTTGTCTACTCACAGCTATAGCCAAATTGAGAACTGTGTAAGTGTCATTCTCTGATCCAATTGACAGCGAAGGTTCAAAGATGGCACCATTGGGCTGTACAAAAGAGACTGTGTTCTTCTGAGAGTCATGGGTTACATTTTCCTTGGCTAGATAACGAACTCTGAAATACAGAAGCAAATAAAATTCAAAATTATTGTGTCAAGTGAACATAGTTCTCAAATGCTATTCATTAGTACAACAAGCTTTTTTTTAGTACATAGAATATGTCAGAAATAATGCTAAACAATTGGGTTCGAATGGTAAAGATGTCAATGCTGGGTCTCTAGCAAATCAGAAAAGCTGGTCTTAAATTTGCCTGGCAGGGGAGGAGTGATATGAGTTATCACACGAGTTTATACAGAGTCCATGGTAAAACATAGGACAGATACAAAACAGGCTTGGGATGGTCATGGTGGTGATAAGGGTCAAGACACATTTTGTAGCAATTCCATGTAAGTGGTTGGAACTGCAAAGAGAAGTTCATTTAGGTGAAATAGGTTAGGAAGTGGAACATATAAAGGAAGAAGAACATAATGTATTTTTAGAAATATATATGGTTGAATTTGATTGAATTATGAAGTGAGAGAGTAAGGATAATTTCCTTTCTGAGACCAATTTCCCTCCCTTTCCCATACATTAAATGCTGATTAGTGCTAAGCTCTTGGCCCTAACATCTCTAGGCTTCAAAGTACCAACTACATTTTATAAGTGTGTTGAAGGGTGATTATTATGGAGAAAAATATTTTTAACTTACAAGATAATCACTAAGATGAAATAATGTATACATCATTCACTGTATTATCATGTATTTGAATATGTATGATGTAAGATGAGTAGATAACGAAGGTAAATACTGAAAGAAAAGGTACTGAAATGTAAAAAACAATACTCTTTGCTGAGGTTTAATAAAAGTGTAAATTTATGTAGGGTATGAATCATGTGTGTATTGTAACCTCAGCACAGTGCTGGGTGCATGATGAGTTCTTGATAAATATTTTTTGAATGAATAAATTAATTAATGGATCACATTCTTTCAAAAAAGAACTGCCAATCATCTAGGAACATTTTATTTTTAATATAATTTCATCAAAGCTTTATTATTTATTCTTATTGGAGTACTGAAGACAACCAGTATTAAAATCTAAAACAGCACCCAGGACAGTTTATTAGTAGGCAATTACGATTTTTCTCTTATATAACTGTATTTTAAAATTATATTACATATTATTAATATTTAACATTGAAATACTTCAATCTTCAGGAATATACATGTGTATATATTAGCTAAAAAATTGTGACCTAAATGCTAGAGCTTACTTAAATTGTACTTACAACATTGAACCAGAAGGTGGCATTCACTGAGAAAAAGCCTTTAAACAGGCCTGTTAATAGAATGTGTTTTTAAAAAGGGAACATAATCATGCATTTTGTTTGTTTGTTTAAAAATTAGAATGTATACAGGTTTTGGGAAGTGTTGGTTAAGAAAGTCAAAGGAAGAAATTCGCCTTATATTTTGCCTGAGACTGCTTTCTTTGTATTCCTGCCAAAACAAAGTAACCAAAACAAAAAACAAAAAAAAAAAGTTTGATCTGTGAATATTGTGAAAGAATTACTACATATTCATAGAGATTATAGAAATGGTGTAGGTTGGGATATATGTAATTAAGATCTCAATCCAGGAAATTTTATGCTCTGACCTACATCATACCTTGTCAATCAAAGTTTCATCAAAGTCACGTAAGTAGCCATCAGCCAAATAAGTCTGCAGTTCTGTTTCAGAAAGAATACCCTCCTATGCTTCTAATTTCAACTGGATTCTGAACATAACTTATGGGGAAGTAGGGTCAGCTCAACAGGCAGAACATTCTCAAGCTATTAACTTTTCCTAAAAGGTGGTTTTCCCATTGTTTAAGGTATCCTAACAGACACTAATGACTCAATTTTGGTGATATTGGGACAAGATGACTGCAACATGATCAGAAATACCTTAAGCATTGTTATATAATTAGAAGATTATCGTTTATAAACAGTAACTGCAAATCCAACTTCCCTTCTTCAACCATCCCATCATTGCCTCTCCAAATAAATTGCGTTCATCTAACCCCACCTTCCCCGTTTTGTCCCTTAGAGATAGAGGTTAAAGCCTCTAGGAATAAAATATGTATTACTTGTCACCTATCAGAGCAGGACTAGGACTAGATTCAATATTATGATTGTTTCCCCATATTACAAGTAAAATCTGTAAAGGAAAAAAACAACCTCCCCAGAAACATGTAAAAATTTAAACAGAACATGTAAGTTTTCAAATTCTAACAACCACTCTCTTTCCTTACATGTATTCAATTCATCAGGTTATAATTTTTAAACAATATGCTTATATATTCATGATGGCACATGTGAATTCTAGATTTTCATGGGTACTCATCATAGCTACAACATATTTTTTTGGAACAAGATATTTATATAGGCTTTTGATAATAACGTAAAACTATAAGGCCATGAAGAAATAAAAATACTTTCTAAGGTAAGCTTTTGTTTTCTAACAATAAAAGCTCAGTTTTATTTGACAGAGTTGTACCTAGTTACAGACATGTGCACAGAGACAGGGGATCTGGGATAATTGCGAGGACACAGTGGACACCCGGGCCTTCTATACGTCCTCTGCTGCCACCATAGGCTCTTCCCTCACAACTCTCGTTACTTCATTATATTTTGAGTGTGAGTTGTTAATTGAGAAACATAATACATAGAGAGAAAACCATTATACAATTATAGATGATCTAAAACAAAAGATGTACTAAAATTATAAATTATAAGAAATGATTGAAATATATATTTTATGGTAAGAATTGATCATGGTATATAACTAGTGGTAATCCTTGAGGAAAAAAATCATTGATTTGCAGACCAAGTAATTTAGCAGAACCTAATTGTGTTCCCATGTGGATCTACAAACATACGCCTGATCCTTGGTTAAGGGTAGTTTTTGGTACCTCATTCTTTCCCACTTTTTACTTTGATAGTGGGGGGAAAAAAGATACTCTATAACTTAATCAGGAGAAAATATATACAAAAATCTAGGAGTTCCCAGTTCCCAGGTCTGTGTGAACATGAACAAATCACATCACATCCCCTGGTGTCAGTTTTGTTTAATTACAAAATGAAAAGTTCTGGCTAATTATTTCCCCTTAGTTCTAACAGCCCAAGATGCTGTTCAAAAGTGTGTTAAACTGTAAGGAATGTAGGATAAAGATATAGCATATGCAGCCTCGGTACTGAACAAATATATATAATAAGGAAACTGCTAATCAAATAGAAGTCTCAGTTTGACCTGGGAATTAGATTGAACAGAAATCCTTAGCAAGTACTATAGCTATATAAAATCAGTATAATGTTTGGTTCTCAAATTTGAGTGTGTACTGGAGTCACCCAGCAGGGTCTGTAAAACCTATGCTGGTTTCCAACCCAAGAGGCTCTGATTCATTTGGTATGGGGCAGAGTTTGAGAATTTGCATTTCTACTAAGTTCCCAGGTGATGCTGATGCTGCTAGCCCTGGGACCACACTTTGAGAACCATTGATGTAATCTATACATTCAATTTAAAAATTTAAAAATACTCCAGTTTTAAAAATTCTGATAGATTTTTTCCTATTGAGCATGCATATTTCACAGTGGTTGAAAATATATTCCACAACTTTAAAACACCTATAACTTCTTAAATGTAGGGCAGTTATTTGATGCTGGTCAATTTATACTAAAATCTGTATCTCTTATAAGGATTAAATTCTTAGGTTAGGATTTTATATAGGCAGAAACAAAATATTCAATGTATATCATTGGTAAGATAATATAAATACATTTCAAGTCAGTGGCATTTATTAAGCAGAAGTCTTTTTCACAAATATATATAATCAATGAAAGAGTGCCACTTACTTGTGGGGACTTACTCACCTATATGTATAAGGCCCCATTTCCTTAACCTTAATATTGCTGCTGTTAAGTGTCACTTCTTCTGGATTTTGCACATCAAAGATCCAAAACTGTCTGTAAATATCGGTGCCTGTTTTAATCCAGTTTTTATAAGCAGTTGTACCTTCTTCAAGGACAACTTCCTATTAAAAGATAAAAACAAGTTTGGGTTATTTCTTTGTAGTAAGGAAGGGCACTTCTGAGCATTTTAACCTTTAGTTACCCAATGAAAAGACCTTAAGTACCATGTACATGAGAACCTTTGTGATTTTACCATACACTTGCAATAGAAATGTTCCAACAAATTATAATATTATAGCATCTTCAACTTCTTTATCTAATCTTTGACACAAAGAATCTGTGTGTAATACTGCAGACATGTCTGATGATCTTAAGGCCAATTATTGGCAAACCTTAGAGAGTGACTCTATGGCAATATTGCAACAGTTAGTAACATAATTTATTAACCAATTTTATTAAAGTTGTTCCAGAAAGTTCTTATCAGGTAGAACACTAATTTTTCTTCTGCCCTCATTGAGTTGGACTGATGTGGCAAAACAGAAAAACAGAGAAAAATCTAGTGGTAATGGAAGCTTTTTCCTTTTCTTTAAAAGTTGGACACTTCAGGAGATAATCACTTGACATTTATTAAATTAATAAAACAGATACTTCTGAATAAAAAAACACAAATATGACTCCCCCACTTCAAAATCCTGCTCAATATGGCTTCCCAAACTCTCAATGTATTAGCAGCAACCCAATAGTATGTTTTCATAAATTATAACAATAATTAAGTTTTCAAATCCTCACCTGAGGATATATTTATTGATTTCAGAGAGAGAGGAAGAAAGAGAGAGAGAGAGCGGGAGAGAGAGACAGAGATGTCAATGTGAGAGAGAAACATCAATTGTTTGCCTCTCATTCACACCCCAACCAGAGATCAAACTAGCAACCTAAGTATGTGCCCTGACAAGGAATCAAACCCTCAACTTTTGGTGTATGGGATGATGCTCCCATCAACTGGCCCACACTGCCAGTGCTAATTCATTATTATTAGATTACTATGTTTTAAATAAAAGTATTAAATAAGAAGGTTGTCCTAACAGTCTTTCATGAAATCCATTAAAAATTATTGACTCCCTTTCATAGTAGAAAAACAATACCAATGACAGAATCTGAAAGTATATTAGAAATATGTTCTTTCTTTTAAGATCTGTGGGACTGAGTGGAAAGTCACCAAACCCCTCAGGGTTAATTTCATTTTCTATAAAATAAGGGAGTTTCATTTACTGACCCAGTTGCCTTCCATGGCTTTTGAGCCAGAAATCTATAAGGCTATAGTAACTAGTGCCAACAAAGGTGATTTTGTAGCCAGCAATATTTCCAATTAAGAACCTTGGAAAAAATGCCCAGATGGAAAGCTCCAACTTATCTTAGTGTGCTGGAGGAAGAGGAAGAAAACTATTTCATAGAAAATGAACCTAAAGTAGCCCATGAATATAGGAAAAATCTGATCTATTTGTTTCCTTCACCTGGAAGCATCAATTCATAGAACGATGAATCAGGAAAGGACATTGGACATTACTATCACATTTCCTAGTGGCACATGTTGAAGCTGTGAGAAACCAGGTGGCTGACCTAAAAAAAAACCTAGGCACATCACAGGAGAATCACAAGGAAAATCCCAGTCTCTGACCTTTAGACTAGTCCTCTTTTATACCACTCTATTACTTTTTTTTTTTTCTGTCCCCTCTGTACTTGGTTGGTAAAAGTCAAATAGACTTTCATATCTTCAGGGAACTTAACTTATTGCTTAAAGCAGAGAATAAGGGAATTCCTTAGAGAAGAACAGGGCACCCAACTAAAACACCATTACAAAATCCTTTCTGTTGCAAGCATTTACACTGGGTATATTGGAGCTGCTAAAGTGATGGTAGATTCTATTACTTTTACGATCAATTGTCCTTGAAAAACTTTACATTTGTTCCCAGAAAGTTTGATTTCTATACTAACAAGCCCAATATTAAGATGAAATTACCTATAGATAATGTACTACAGCTATTCTTCTAAATGTAAAGATGTTTAATGAAGATGTTGAAGGTGAAATCTATATAGAAGCTGAGAGATGTATTAATCTACCCATTTCAAGAGACTTATGAGGGAAAAAACACACATGAACCTATATATGTACGTTACTCTCGCACTCTAAGAATCTTAAGGACTAATGTAATATCAATTTATCATGTACCTCTCAAGGCACATATTTTATTTTAGTTCTTAATGAAATAAAATCAATAAATGCTTACAGAATTGAAAAGAGACTGTGATAGAATGTTCTTGGCAGCACAGAATCCATCCCCAACTCTAATGCACATGCATTTAATGTCAGAGGACATGGTAAGTGTAATATGCCTTTTCTCTAAGAGCCATAAGTCACTTTGCCTTAATTGTTTATCTGAAGATATTTTTCAAAAATGGGAGCATTGAAACACAAATATTTAAAGGGAATGCATTGAATTGTCAAGTGCGAAAGTTAGCGTCACCTAACCCTGTCCATTTTTTCAGAGGTAGAAATGGATCCTAGAGAAAACAGATATTTTATTCAATGACATGTGACAATTTAGTAGCAGATAATATAGAATCAAGTTCTTTTTAGTACAATTTTGTATAGTTTCCATAACATCATGATGTGTTTAATGACAAAGGAAAATATTGAAGCAGTCAAAATATGAATTCAGTTTTTTTTTGGTCCTAAACACTACTCAATAATAGCCACTTGACTACCAAGACTAAATATGTCATATGTTCTTTCTAAAAGGAGCAAAAGATTTTACATCCTTTATGAATTTAAAAGTCCTTAATTTTAAATTGGATTTGGATTATCTGGTCTATTCTGCAAATCTTTCACTAAATTTGAAGTATAAAGCTGATCATTATGTGCACAGAGAAAGTAATATAGTTTAAGATCATCTCACTTGGTTGATGTGTGCATCAGTATCTGTCCCTAACTTTAAGTATACAGACTACCTAGCCTTAGGAATGGCTGGAGTCCAACCTGATGACTCATGTGGCGTAGTCTCCAGCTGGGTTTGAAAGTCATTGACCTTTCATTATATTGAAGGGAGATGTTTGTGACAGTAATATTTTCTATCTAGTCACATGCTCACTTGATTATTGCTGTTGCAAGAAAACAGTACTACACAACTGACAATTTTGGTATATGTAATTCTTAAAATGCCCTTGATATTTTCCCATGTGCAGAGTATGACAGTACATTTGTAGAAAATATATTGTCCCATTTCTCAAGGATATTATAAAACACTAAGAGGCAGAATCTTGTATAGCAGATTTTACTCTATGAGTTAGATTCCCTTATCCTACCCTCATCCTGACCAAGCACACTGGCTTCTTCCCTCAAAGCATAGTGAAGTGATAAAGAATGAATCTAAGATGCTATGAATTTGATCCTCAGTTTGGTTCTGTTATAACCATTTAAACTCAGGCAGGTTATTAAATTACTTTGTACCTCAGTTTTCCCACCCATCAAATGGGAATAATAATATCAAACCATATGAAATTAGAACCTCTGAAAGTCAGAATTAGTTGAATATAGTTTAATTAAATATTTACCCTCATCGTTTGTTACAAGTATTAATAAATGTGAACACTTAGAACAGTGCTGACACTGTTAGCACATAGCAAGCATTCAATAAACACGTTAACTATTACTACTATACAAAGCCTATCTATTCTTTAAGAGGGAAAATGCTAATATCATTTACTTCCAGACTGTTCTAACTGCTTCATTTCTATTACTTACTAGCTGAACAAGGCATGTGGCAATAACTTGTGTAATAATCCTGTGAAACTTGTTTCTCTGCTACTTAATCATTTCAACATTTATAGTGCAATGAAATCAAAAGTTGCTTAAAAAATGGAAATGTATGAAAAGTAATCTTTTTCTCCCCACTCACTACCACAATTTGTTCTGTCAGGACCAGTTAGAAGCAGTGTTCCCACGTTAAAAAAAATATCTCTCATTTCCACATGCATGTGTGTGAGTGCACCAAGAGAAAAAGAATAAATTAGAGTATTAGTGGTGTTGAATCGAAAAAGGGTTTTAGTTTCAGGTTATCAAGTTATCAATCAAAACCAAGAATATTTACGAATACACTAGGAGAAGAGGGGAAGAAGAGGGGGGAAGAAGAAAATGTATTTAAAAAGTAAATAAATTAATTAAAAAAAAAAAATTTACTGAATCAGATTGAATTTAGTATTTCTAAACCCAGAAAATTAACCTTCAAGAATTTATGTGAGAACCTAAAGTGGGAGATTTTTATGCGTAGCATAAGAAGTAAACAATGTTATTACACTGGTTGGAGGAAGAGAATTATATATTCTTACCAACTATTTCTTGAAACATTGTTTTTAAGTGATTTTATTATTCCTGTTAAAATGAAAATATTTCTAGTGTTTAATCCATTTTTTACTGCTACATTAATTGGCGATATATTTCATGTACTCATGTATTGTCATTAAATTTTTAAAAAGTCTACCTTCTTTAACAACTATCACGTCAGGCATCTCTTTTTGAACTTTTTAAATACCATAAAATATACAAATGATTTTTATTATACCTAGAAATACTATAAGCATATATTATGAAATGAATATAAATATAAATTAATTTATATTATTGAAATAGGGCCTATTGATTTGAGAGTCTGGTCATTTTAATGAACGTAAATTATTATTTTAATTTATTTTATCTGAAAGCATTTATTACAAGCTATTAAAAATTATTCTTTTCAAGAATTAGAGGAAGAAAAGATGGTATAATTAAATGATGATATAATTGAACATTAATCTTTCAATAGAAAAGTCTTCAAAAGAAAACTTTTATTCCCTTCTTGGTGGTCTACAGTTAATATAATAGGGAAATTAAATTAAAATTTATTTGAAATTATTTATGTTACACAACATTCACTAAACTTTTATCAAGTGGCATTAACAAAGTTGAGTGATGAATTATCTTTTGTAAGTGGTGGCAGAACTCTGACATTTTTCAAAGTCCTTTGGTAGTTTCCACACTTGTCACAGCTTAAGCCATTGACTCTTAGTCTCCCTGGTAAGATTGTATAAATCTGCTGGCTCAATACAAATCTATTAAGAACTACAGGAGAGAAAGAATGTTTTCCACTGTAATCCATAAAAAAAGCATAAAGTCCCTAAAAAACATTCCTTGGAAATAAAGAGTAAAAAATATATGTATAGCCCTGGCTGGACGGCTCAGTTGGTTTGAGCATCATTCTGTGTACCCAAAGGTTGTGGGTTTGATATCCAGTCTGGTCATGTACCTAGGTTGTGGGTTTGATCTGTGGTCAAGGCACATATGGGAAGCAAATGATGGCTATTTCTCTTTCACATCAATGTTTCTCTCTCTCAAATTGATAAACATATCCTTGGCTAAAAATTAAAAAATATACCCACACACACAAAGGAAGGACAATGAGCTATTTTAGACCATTTCAAATGTTAGTGTCAGGGTGCCATCTTTTAGAACTGGAAGGTATCATAAAATTATGACTTGATAGTTTATAAATAACAACAATATAAGATGATTTTCTGACATTTTGCAATTAAATACTTGTTCTTTTTTTAATGGTGTTTGTGTACAGGTAATAACTTTCCCCATATGGTGTTAGTCAATTGAATGAAGAAAATAATCTTCAATGAGTTTAAATGATAAACAAAAAAATGACCACTACGAAAACTTGTATTAGATATTAATACAATAACTGCATTAACCTAAGTGCTCCTGAGGCTGGGGTAAGACACTTGGCTCTCTGAGTTTGTACATGATTCAGACATTTGACTTTTACTATATGCCAAATGGATGCATGTGTCAGTCTTATTTAAATAAAATAGTTCTGTAATACTAAAGAAAAAAAAAGAAACAATCTTATGTAAGCAAAGAAAACAGTCCCAGTATCTTTCTGTGACTGAAACTGTCAAGATCAAACATGGTTATGTAGAAATGTGAGAAGAAAATCAGGCTCAGTTGTAAATGGACCACAGACCCTGATCATTGAAGGGATTCTGATGTCTTATTTGAAGGTCATGTAGCTGGGGTACAGTGTAAACTACTATTTAATAGGTTTTTCTAACTTTTTCTTCTCTCAAATTTCAGTTCTGTATCTCCTTCTTCTTCCAGAGTCTAGATTCATACTATTCCCTTTGGTCTTGTAAAAGGTTGCACAGAAAACCCTCATTTCAAAACAAGAAAGGAAACACTCCATTCCTTATTTTATCCCCTTTTTTTTTACCCTATCCTACTGAAATTACACTTTCAAAATCTTAGTGACCATGTTTTAACCATATTTCCTTAATTTTCTTCTGCCTGAGTACATTTTATTCTCTTTCATTGAGTTCCGGCTTCTTATCAGCTGCCAAAATATTGCACTCTAGTCTTTATTTCTTCATAGCAAATCATTTCTTTCCCTTTTCTGCTTCGTCTTCAACCACCGAATTATGCACAAATCACATAGTTATCTCTCTGCTCCTTTGTCTCTACATTCAAACTCTCTGGCAAGCAAATGTACTGTATAGTTTTATCTGTAGTCCATATAGTAATGATAAAATCCCTCTGAACCCTGACCTTTGAAATACTCACTGATGTTCATATGAAACCATTGATAAAACATCTGTGTTGTAGTCTTTTAAGGTGTACATTTCTCTCAGTAATTTGACTGAATATGTTGTAGTTTGTCCTCCTCTCTCTCCTAATCTAGTCCCTCCATTCAAACTGCCACTGCATGTCATTACCCATCAGTTCATTCTATGTACTTTATTATACTAGAACAGAGTGCCTTTGTTACAGAACATGCAATGATTTTTCTAAAGAAGAGTTATATGTTCTCTTTGAAAGTGGTCATGTCCTACATAGCTTTTCCTTGTTTTGCTGTTTTGGGTCTTCTTACTAATTTCCAACACTTTCTATTGTAGATAGAGCATGAGACTGGGTATCATCTAGTTTCTGACCTGAGATCACCTAGGTTTTGAAACTGATCCTTCATCCTTTTGGCTAGGTGAGCTGGCAAGCTATTCTAAGGTCTTGTGACTGTAAAATGGGTAAAATAATAGTACTTTCTTATAGGTATTTGTGAACATTAAGTAAATTATGCATATGAAGCTCTTAGCACTAAATAAACACTAGCCATTTGATGATATTGATCTCTAACTGCAGGCTTTGTTATCTCTTACACATCTACCAGAAAACATACACCAACAATTATTGACTATACATAATTGGTTGAATATTCCTCTGCTTGATGTTCAAAGCTTTTTAAATCTTACCCCATGATGTTGTCTCCCTAATCATCTCTTGTAATCCCATATTTTTGGTGCATCCTCTATATTCTTCCTTTCCTCTTCACAATATTTAATTGAACTTTCACAACTTTTTCCATAGTGTTAATCAATCCTTTCATGCCTTTAATTGCAGCCTTCTTTGAACTTCCAAAATTCTATAGTTCTTCAAAATCCAATTCAAATTTCACCTTCTTCCTGAAGCTACTGGATACACTAAGAGAGTTTTCTTTCTAAATAGCATTTATGTTTCCATACTGTACATTATAGAATTCAGTTCTAGGAGTCTCACAGGTCTCTATAATTTTTTACAATATTCTTTCCCCCAGTTTAATATTAAATTTGTTGAGAAAAATTTATTTTATTCTCTCAGTCCCTATACAAAAGCAAATTTTTAATGCCTCAAAACTCTTATATTCTCAGGGTTAGTTATTATGAACATAGAAATAAATAGTAAACAATTAAAATAGATGCTAGAAGTGTGTATGTCATCTGACAGAGAGCTTATATGTACTAATATCATTGAATGAGGAAAAAAATTATGATCGATAATTAGCTGCTGGTCATCGATTATGTATCCGAAAAAAAGTCTTAGTCTAAAATGAGGTGCAGTGGGAGATTATTATATTTCTATTCTGGGGACCTTTTCAGAATATAATTTGTAGTCTGTGTGTTAGCACACACACTGATTCTGTTCTCTCTCTATGAAAGATCCAGAAGGGAAGCTCAGTTTACAGAGAAGTGAACAAACGCAATGCCATCTAACACTGTTACATAAACTTTATGTCACTATCACCTCTCTCACAAACTACATCAAAAGTAATATCAAGAAAATTGGGAATTCCAAAGAAGGAGATGACGTTCAATTTGCCATATTTTTTTCTTCAGTTAAATTCATAGGGCTGAAGATTTACAATTTGTTAGCAACAGGGAGGTCAGAAATTACTATATTATTATGGAGCAAATATATCATGCAAGCATGAGAACTATAGCCTAAAAAAATCTCCTATATTTTTAATTTTATAATAAAAGAGCAGCTATAGTGGTGCAGTGAGATTATTTCTTTGAACTTTAAAACCTTCATAATTTTAGCTAAAGAAAGACATATCAGAAAATAGTAACTTTTCATTATGAATGATTAGATTTAAAATTAATTCTTTGTATTAGTTAGGTAAGTCAATGTTTCAGTGAAATATAATGGTATTCATTTAGATTCCTAGTAAGAGCAAGATGTCAAATGGAGGTGAATGGATAAAGAGAGAAAGATCTTGGCTGTAACAGAAATTTCAGTATGAATTGATAGGTATAGCCCATTTTATGGTTTAACTCTTGTTGTTCTCCATTGTTCACTGTACTTAATAACACTCGGTCTAGACCACTGACATCTAACCAGGCTGAGAGCTGACGCCAGTACTCAGATATCTTTTATTTGGCCAGAATTATGTTTTGAAAAAAAGAAACATACATGCCTTCAGTCAGGGCATACATTCTCAAGTTCACAATACTTCCTGTTCTTCATTTTATCTTGTTCTTTGTAGCTTCACTTTTTTTTTTTTTAAACTCTGTCTCCAAACTTCTGAAGCCTTTCAAACTTGCCATCCCTGGTTTAGGACTTCAGCAGATCTGTATATCCTTATCCTAGTCTTCCTTTCTCAATCAATTAAAGTTGGTGAGTGTGAAGCTGCTTAGAAGAAGCTAGGATGGGAAATGAATTCTAGTTTGTTGTGCAAACCTGTCTATTGAATCCCTCTAATTTAGTTAAAACTATAGTCTGCCTGCTGCATAGACACTGGCATATGTCCTATATAACATTTCTGAAAGTATTTTCTAAGAGTCAAACATGAAGCTTTATAAATAGGAAATATTTGTAAGATAAGCATATATTTATTACATATAAAAAGTAGCAGTTTATCAAATAAAAAATAGTTTACCAGTTTTACCAAAAATTCCTGATTCATTATTAAACAAAATTATGTTTAAATGACTGTATAATATATATTTATATATTTATATGTTTTGTTATATATTATAAATATACATATACTCTTCTCAATATTAAACAAAGTACATCTACTTTTTATACATGTACCCTCACAAAACACACTTACCTATTTTTTATTCAAAAGCATACCATTATACTCTTTAGACATAAACTTATTTCAACTAACCTGTCTACCTACTGATAGCTTTTATCAGAATTTGAATATTTATACTTTCAGAATTTGAATATTTATACTTAAGACAGCAATTCATTCTTGGTAAATATGTGTTATAATTTTTATATTTCTCTATCATGTACAGTTATGGTGGTTCATAATCACTTTTGTATTGAAGACAAAGTTGTCAGCATGAAATATGAAACAGGTACACAGAGCAAATAAGTGACAGAAGAAAAAATGAATCAGGATGACAAAAAAAAATCCTTTAGACTACTCGTACCTTTTTAATTGTCTTCTCAATAAGCATGTCTCCAACTGGCATTAGAATACCTCCAAGCACAGCCAGAACTGCACCAATGACAGCACCAGCGATGAGCCCGCAGTTTCGGTCACAGCCCATTCTTCTTCTTGAGGGGAAAACTAAGGTTTAGTACCTGCTTCTTTTAAACTTCCAGGTTTCCAAGGACTCTGGTTCTATGATTAGAAAGAGATCATAAAGCAGAAGCTTAAATATCAATTCCAACAGATCAAAGTTCAAAGAAAACACGTTACAGAAACAGATTATTTTCCCAGTTGTCAATACACACATTCTTCTTTTTGTTTTAGGAAACTGATTTTCCTTATTAGATCTTCCCCTTTCTTGCTCTTTACTCTCTACCAGTGGTAGAAAGTAAAACACTGTCATATACAGCATCTCTTCAGAAATTCTCCTCTCTAATTTTCTCCTTATGGGTACATCGAAGTCTTATCTAAGGGGAACATGCTTACTGTACTCTCACCCTCAACTATCTTCCCTCAGCTTGTGACACTTAGTTGCTCCCTCACCCTCTATCTGGCTTCTCCACTCAAATAGCCATCCATACCCTGTCTTGATATCTACTTCAAACTAAATATGAGGGGACTGATGTCTTTTCTATCTAAGTGCTAAGTAAGTGTGGTAAGACTTTTTCTTTACTATACCTTATTCACAAATGAACAGAAAGATATGGACTTTACAGAAAGTGATCTGATGAATCTCAGAAAGAATCAATTCTTTTAATCATTTGTCAGCTATCTGTTAAAACAAAAAAAGCATGGGTAAATTGGGAAAATACAATATTAGAAAATTTAGAATACTATTATCAAATTATCATTACTATGAAAAGAAAATCCCATTTTCATGACTACTGGCCTCATGCCTAACTTGTTTCTTGAATTGTTGAAAACACTGAAATATTTTGAAGAAATGTTCTTTACTTTCAATTTTATTGTTAATAATTGACTTCTGTATAGACTAAAGGTACAAAGAATTTGAAGAAAATATATATGTAGAGGATGCTTACTTTTAATGCTACCCATTGCTTTGTTACTAGTCTCAAAGAATTTTTACATATTCATTTGCAATAGTATTTACATTGTCATAGCAACTGATTCATGCCAATATATTAAAATAAACTACTTTGTGTCAGTATGTATTTCACTTAATATTTTTATCTTTTTACTATGTGATTATTTCATAAAGATTGGAAGAAAACAATTGGTGAAATGAGTGGATCCTCTTGTAACAAAGTTAATAAGAGTTTATTACTTCTGACTAATACTTAAAATCACATTCACCTGAGTTTTATCATTGTAACAGCATTTTTAAAAATGGAGTTGACTTGACATTGATAAATAGTCAAAATGTGCTTTGTAGTTTATACACAAATCTTCCCTACTTCAAAATGCCTATAACTAAGGAAGATATAAATGCCAACAGAATGCAGGCTACAAAAAAAAAAGGAGTCATACACAGCACATTTTTGTCAACACTGTAAATGTAATAATAAAAAATTATATTTTGTTATGGTCTCAGATTTCTCTCCACAGTTTTGTTGCATCAGTTTTTTTTTTTTTACCGGTCTTATGATTCTATTAGTATTTATTTCCACTTAAGGAATCATTTAATTTTTCAAGAATACTATATGCATAGCTAAGAAAATAATGGTAAGAAAAAAAAAGAAAAAAATAGACTTTTTTCCCCAAAATGGAGGAAGATAAATGTCACAAAATTTTTCCATGGCAATTTTATGCATTTATTTTTACTTTCCTTTATCCATTGTGATATCCCTCTAGCTATGCCTTATACCTAGGATGCTTCCACTCTCAGTCAAGATGCAACAAACTTATTCACACTGAGGTCCTGGTGCCTAAGAAGCTTGTACAAGTCATGGGTGTCACAAGTTTCTTCAGATGTAAAAGAAAAAAACAAAAGCCTAAACATGTGACTTATTTTTCCTGTGGAATTTTATCTCACTGAGCAAGTGGGGTTGTGTTTTTATTAATTGCCTCAAGGTCAAGTATGAAGAATAGCTTTCCCTTCCCTCTAACTCATGCAGCATGCTACCTCTTATGGCTTTGGCCAGGTTTGTCATAATACAACAGACCAAATTATTTAAAGTTGATAAAAGGACTGGATCTTATCAAGTAGAATTACCTTGCAAAGTAAAATTGTACAGCACCTTAAATTTTTCTTGAAACATGTTTTATACAACCATAGCAATCACTAAGTACAGAATATCATCCTGCTGTTCTGTATATTATAAATAAACAACCATATTCAAGATAGCTTATTAAATAATATTTACTGAAAGCCTATTTCATAGACCATTCCCCAACTCCCCCAAAATTTGTTATTATGTTACAACAAATTTGCAAGTTGTAACATAACGTTGCAATCAAATATGGGGGATCTATCCTGGTGTCATTGAGATTAGTAGACTAGAGATTAAACCAAACACTGATTTGCCACTCTCTTGACAGGTGACCATGGGTAAACCTTTTATTGTCCCTATACCTCATTTTCCTCATGTTTAAAAAAATAAAAAGCTTAAAATCTGATTAGTTTTTAATTTAAGCAGCTTAATTAGTCTTCACTCAAACTGTCACATGGAAGACCAATAGAATTATTATGACCACAGCAGTGGAGGGAACCCAGAGAACCTGGTTTTTCTGACACTCTCGTTTCCACCTTTAGGACATCCTAGGACAATCTCTATTGAGATCTGTGGCTTTGCAAGCCCATTTAAAAATTGAAACAGGAAATCCACACTGTCAAGTTCTGGTTTCATTTCTAGAACATCATGAATCTTTAAAAAAAAAAATACAAGTCAACGATTAAATCATCTTTTTTGGAATATTATTTTATGTTCTATATAAACTTCACTACAAATTATTCAATATGAATGTCATTTGCAAATCTGACAGATGGAATATAAAATGATTTAAAATTTGCAATTCTATTGTTGCTAAAATAGATATATGTGCACATATTGGCTCCTTTCCAGATTCTATGCCATAATGTAGTCGTGAATCTATCTGATTTATCCAGAATCTTTCTCTTTTATTAAAGTAGCCCCGTGTAGTACAAGGAAGAATTTCTGCAAGGAGCAAACAGTCCCAAGAGTGTCCACTTGAGAACCCAGGCACAGCACATACTGTCCAATGCTTCCCTCTCTAAACCAGAAATCTCACCATTATGACCTCTAAGGACGCTGGGCCCAGAGGTGTCAGTTAATGCGGATACAGGGGTAATGTCTAAACTCTGCCTCACGTGAACTTAAAGCTGAAGTAAAATATGTACACAACCACTGCTGCTGAATCAGGTTCATCAGAAAACATTAGTGTCAGGAAATTTATTCTTTAGAATAACATGGTTAAAAAGTCTTTAGTCCAACACCAGTCTGGATGATATATAAACAAAGATACAAATATTAATCTGACATTGCTTCAATACTGATAGTTTTGAAAGAGAGAGGGAGCGAAGGGGGGAGAGAGAGAGAGAGAGAGATTATCTCTTTCAAATTTTCTGATTGAGTCACTTTTGTTAACATTATGTAAGTTTCCTACATTGTTTTCCCAAGCCTAAGCAAGATACTGGACACACTTGGGTTCATTTATTATCCTTCAGTATTGATATCATCATGAGTAACTACGTATTGCTACTATAATTACACTTTAACCTTATGCTTCATACTACAAAATTACAATCACTTTTATTAACCAGAGGCAAAGGAGGACCAAACATATTATGTAATACATCTACCGAGAACATAAGGGAAAAGTTCAGGCTAGCAGTACATTCTATTCAACAACTTTTCCATTCATGTTTACCCTCAGGGAAAAAAAGTGTAGTTTGTTTCTAATTTTCTTTCCTTTAAAAGTTAAATATTGATTGAGGACATGCAAAATTTGTGTCTTATGCACTTAGTCTTCTTACTAACACAGCTCTTTACATATTAAAATAGGTCATTTACCTCACTTTCTAGTTTTGGATTAATTCTTGTTCTTTATTATTATTTTTCCTTCATATAAAATAGACATTTGTATCTGTAATAATTTGCTTCTGCTTAAAGTACCTACATTTAGAAAGCAAAAATTAACCACAGGTACATAAAATAACACTTATAATTGAGCCCTGGCTGGTGTGGCTCAGTGGACTGAGCGCTGGCCTGCAAACCTAGAGGTCACTGGTTAGGTCCCCAGTCAGGGCACATGCTTGGGCTGTGTGCCAGGTCCCCGATACGAGGTGCACAAGAGGCAACCACACATTGATGTTTCTCTCCCTCTCTTTCTCCTTCCATTCCCCCTTCTCTAAAAATAAATAAATAAAATCTTTAAAAAAATAAATACAAGACTCTAAACTGCAATTGTATAGGTAAGATTGTGAATATTTAACCAAACTTGTATTGAGACTTCTGTCAGGATCAAAGAAAATAGGAAAATAAGCTGTATCTTCTCAGTTTATAGATCATAATTCCAATTCCTTTTGCAGAATTGGTGAGGGTATCTTATTCCCTTGGGATATCTTTGAAAGAATAAAGAATAGAATTTTTCTTTTTTTACTGTCAAATCCCTGGAGCATCTCTAGAATGAATGTATGATCATTATGCCTTTCCACTATGTTGAAAACCTAGTAGTAGAAACTGAGAGGCTGAGCCACAAGAAGCCTCTCCAATACATACTTCAGAAAATCAGAAGATTCCAGTTCCCAGGGACTTTGTAATTATTCCCATGTGTAGGTAAATCTGTGTTCCCTAAGAAACTCCACCCAGAAAAAGTACGGCCTAGACGCAAAATTTCTTGGGATGTGAACTACAAAATTTGAAAAGTTTTAGATTACAAGAGTTCTTGAATCATAAATGAATACCAGAACCTGAATGACATTATCTTACTCATGAGTAAGTAGTACCTCAAATTTCCTATTCTACCTGTAAGCCTTCCTTTCAATTTCCTTAATATAGAAAACCACCCACCTGTTTTCCTCTACACACACACAGTTATTCTTTTGACACACAGCTTCCTCCCCTAATAAATACAGTATCTGCTCACAAAACCCATTTTGAACTTTTATATGGGGGAGGTAGATTAGTTCAACAGGTTGGATATAAATGATGAAAGTTAGTTTTCGAAACTAATTAAATCCTTTTTCACACTTTTGTCCTACACCACATTAGGTGCATTTACAAAGCCATGATTTCTCAAACTTGATTAAGATTCAGATTCAAATCCAAGTGAGTTGAAATGGGTTTAAATCAATCATTTAAATCTGGTTATGTTTTATCATGAGGATAGATAAGGTGTTTAGATAAGTACTTCAGAAACTTCTGTTTAAAAATAGAATTCTTCCTTCAAATTAAATTTTACAAGAAAAAAAAGATAAAAAGGACTCACAGACGTGGACGAGGGTGTGGTGGTTGTGGAAGGGGACCTGGGGTGGAGGTGAAAGAGGGTATGAGGGGGTAAGTGGTAATAGAAAAAAATATAAAATATTAAAAAATAAATTTTACATGTAATCCCAATATATAAAGATAATTTTAAAAAAAGCCAGTCTGTTAAAAAGGGGCCGAAATTGTGACCCTTTCCTGTCCCAGCCATATCCCACTAGTCATTCTTAGAGAACCCAAGTGCTCTGCACAACATTTTTAAATAACTAGATTAATAAATCTCAAACATCTTTTCTTATTGAAGTTACCACACAATCTTTTTAATTTATATGTACATTTCCATCCTATCAGAATATGTGGATATAAAAATATATAATACAAAAAGATGTGTAATATAAAACAATAGTACACTTCATTAAATTGTACTTTTCAAATATTAAAATATAAAACTTGTTTTGATGGTAGTCTTTAAAAATTAAAACCATTAGGCCTGGCTGGTGTGGTTCAGTGGCTTGAGTGCCAGACTGTGAGCCAAAGGGTCACCAGTTTGATTCCCAGTCAGGGCACATGCCTGGGCTGTGGACCAGGTCCCCGGAAGGGGGCACATAAGAGCAACCACACACATTGAGGTTTCTCTCCCTCTTTTTCTCCCTCCCTTCCCCTCTGTGTGAAAATAAATAAAATCTTTAAAAAAATTAAAACCATTAAGTATATTGGACTTCATATAGTAAAAGGTCTGCCTAGAAGCAAACCTATCTTTTGGAATACTTTTCGGAGTACTTGATTACAGAGAATACTATAGGTCTGAAATGATTACAGTCATAATCTGCTTAGGTTTAGAGCCATTCTTAAGCTTTGAACCCTAGACAGAAATGCTGCTATCTATTTTCTACTCCAGATTCTACTATAATAGTGAGATATTATAAGATTTATAGTCATTAAGATTTTGGACTTTGAAGTCAAGTAATTTGGTTTAATTCTGAGTCTTAATATTTTAGTTTCCATGTGACACAACTTTCTCTATAATGGGTATATTATATATTATATAAGATTGCAAATGTCAAACAAAATTAAATGAGTTATGTATAACATTTCCTATCATAGCAAATGTTATTATTTTGAAATATTATAAAATATTATATTAAACAACCATAGCATAATATTATTTCATATTTACCAAAGTATTATTATAAACTGATAAATGTATGCAGTTTATGCAAAACATAATTATTATTTGCAAAACACTTAGGTTACAATGTAATCTGATGAGATGATTTATTCTTTTTATATATAGAAACTTGAATACCATGCACATGGATAAAAGCTAATAGGTTAGAAAATGCTGCTTGAAACTTTTAGCCATGATTTAGCTAGTGAACTAAAACACATTGTGATTAAATAAGAAAACAATTACAAAATTAGTTCCTCCAGGAACAAAAAAATCCATAAGATTCAAATGTATTTGAGTAAACATGGCCAAATATTTTCATAATAAATAAGTATGGCAACTATAACTTCTGAAGTAAACTCTCAGTATAGTATAAAATTCTCAGTATAGTCTTTCCAAGTCCCTCTCCAGTTATAGTTGTGATTTTCTTCCCAACCTAACTTATTATGTGATGACTGTGTATCTGATATACTGTTCTGGTTTAATAATGATTCTGATAAATGAAAAAATGTCATCATATTTCTTCTTTCATAAATTTCAGTGGACCACTGGAGCCTCTATATGACAAAACATTTTTAAAATTTCACTTTGGTTGTTTTGTGAACCAATACTAAAAGCAATGTTTCTTTTAGATTCAAAAGATATTACTAATTTAAAATTACATAGGAATGAGCAGAAAAATACATGCAAACAATTAAAAAATATATTTCTATATGCTACTTGATAATCCCAATAACTATTTGAAATTTACTCTAGAAAATTTAGGCCATTTACAGTTATAAATAGATTCACTTACTGTAATTAGAAATGTTTAATTTCTTCAGAATGATTTTTATTTATACTTGATATCATCATTCAATAAAATACTTTTCTGATATTTGAAATAAGCTTCCTACATAACCCAAACCATCAATTTTGGATTATTTTTATTCTGCTACCAAATTTTTTATAATTTACACTTGGGCCAGTGATAAAATCTAGAATCATTATTTGAAGTTAATATAATTTACCATTCCCAGAGCAATTATAATGTTTGTTCACTTAAAAAGTATTTAATAAGAACATATCCAAATACACATTGTATATAACCATATAGACAAAGTCAAGTTCACAAAAAATTGTGAAATTCAGATAGAGAATTAAATAAGCTAATGTCTCTATAAAGTAGTAAGTAGTTAACAATTGCATACTAGAGAGCAAGTTGACATAAGAGTGGAAGGTAACTTATAAAAACTAATCCTACTATATTGATTTTCATTTATGATGATTTTTATTCATAATTTAAATTAAAAATAATGTATAAATAGCCTAAGTATACAATGAAAGCTTCACAATAATCTAATTGGATCATAAATCACTTAAAATATTAACAAATAAATGTTTATAGAAAAACATTTTAAACATAAAGAAGTGAAATACCCTTTACTGTTAAACAAGATTTTAATATTTTTTAAACACAAAATGTAGAAGATTGATAACTTGGACAACACAAACCTAATTTTTAAATAAAGCCTAGTGACTTGAAGAAAACAGCTACAGTTCCTTGTTCTTGTTACATAACTTCTTAAGAGTGTTTATATAGTAGTGTCATCTATTACTTGAGAGATAGAAATCTTTTTTTATTAAAAAAATCATACAACTTACCTTTAAAAAATCTAAGAAGAATTTTTCAATCAAATGCTCCAACATTTGAACAGACAGTTCTTAGTAGGACCAAATGGTATTCTGCAGAAAAAAACCCTACACTGAAACCCTCATTTCAGAAAGTGTGTGAGTTTAAATATGCTTTAAAAAAAAAAAAAGCACAACGTCAACCCCGAGTAAATGGTTGGTTGCCAGAGGAATTAAAAAAAAAAAAATGAAGAAAGAAACCCACACATATCACATTACTGGACTGGCTCTTAAGCATCTATTTTTATGGTCTGGAGAAGACCTATTACCTATATCTGAGATAATCTACAGCATTTTATTTTTTTTTATTTTTGGCCATTTTCCCATCCAAGTAAGTCAGAAGTCAAGGAGGAAAAAGGAACTAAAGCTGCCTCTGATTCACTACACAGTCATTACTACACATGACGAATTAGGGATTCAAGTGTGAAAACTGTAAATTACAAAAACTAAGCAGTTTCACTTCCCTGTCATGATCAGTTTGCCAAACTCATGAAGTTTAAAGAAAACACACTTTTCTATGCAGCAATAATCTGAAGTGCATTGAGAATAGTGACTTTGAAAATAGTTGGAAACTCTGTCAATCAACAAGGATGACAAATGGACTTTTAAAAAGGAAATAGTCTATTGTTCTAACTGGAAATCTTAACTGTTTATCATTTTTTTTTCCTGTTAGTTTTATAAAAGTTTCATGGGTGTAGCAAACTCCCACTACAAAAATCAAAATGTAAAATCTCTCTTAATTTTTTCAGCCAAAATACAACTATTACATAACTTTTAAATAGAATTACTCTTTCGAATGACCTTTTAATATATATTAAAAAGTATATACATGAATTACTTTAAAATAAAGTCATTAATTTTAAATCTAATCAAAATAGAAGTCCTTGCGGTTTGGTGGGGGACACCCTCAATATTAAGAGTCCATTTTTACAAAGAAAGTTTTAGAATCCTGCAGGCAAAATCAATATCTTCAGGTTAAATTCTCACCTATCAGATTGGCCTCTAAATAAATGCTTCCAAGTCAACCTTGAAATAAAGTAACTTAATGAAATAGGGAGAAATATATTTAGCTCATTACATCTTATTCAAACCAGTCCTTACCATTGGCTTGCTCCTGCTATTCCTTCCGGGCATGTGGGGGATCCTATCATATGTTAGCAGAGCAATACAACTGAAGTGCTCTTTCCCCCACACCCCCCAGCATTGCTTTCTTTTCCAATGTATTTTTATTGACATATTTATTTAAAAATTAATAACATGTTATAAAATACTTTGTTTTTTTCCCAAATTTCAGACCACTTAATTAGGATAAAGCAGAAATAGGCTTGCACAATGCCATTATAGTTTATGCTTTTCATTTTAAAAGGATAACTTACAGAAATTTAATTTACCTTAAAAAGATAATTTTCTTATAATGGTGACCTTCTATCTTTGTTGTGTTAGTAAAAAGGTAGTATAATAGCTAATTAAACACTTTGATTAAGCGTAGTAATTTTACTTATTTAAACTGCTTTGATATATTTTCTTCTCAACCTAATTCTTACATGTGTGTGCAAGCACACACAAACATATGACAAATCAGAAATAGCTACCAACACAGGAGTTCAGATAGGACCTTTTTAAAAGAGCATATTTTAAACATATTGAAAGAATAGTTAAATCAAAATGAAAATATGAAAAATATTAGAGAAAGACATTTCAGAATAAATACATGCAAAATATCAACAGATGCCTAATTTGACATTGAACTTACTTGGATAACTATTTAATCAGAAGCCTAATGCTATCCACCCAAATCCTCTGACTGTCTCTGGAGTGGAAAGTGTCACATACTCCATGAGCACAGTGCAAAGAATCAAATTCACATTCTTAGAAGCAGCTGTTAAGTGTTCAGTCCCATAGACAACAGTTCCTGCATAGCTTAGCATACAAGATCTGGAAAATGCACAGCTAAGTAAAATCTACAACCACATATTTAGATTTTAAGCAAAACATACACCTTGAACAATGAGGCAGAAAAATGCTGCATCCATTTTAGAGGAAAGAATGTTGAGGTTTTCATTTTTACAAGATTACATAGCCACACTATTTTGAAGGGATGTATTTTATCATACGACAGTATTCTCTTGCCTTATGTAAATCCACTATCACCCTGGATAAATTTAATAGAATGAAATATAAAATTTTCAAAATAATAAAGTCAACCTAGGCACAGTTCTTTGGGAACTCTCTCTCTCTTTTTTTTTTTTTTTGTGAGAGGGCCACGTAGTGTTTGGTGTCAGACATGAGTGAATCTTGATGTTACCAGGCATTTGCTACAATGACTGGGGATTAGGAGTTAAATAACTACTTGCTCTTATTTTCTTCTTTTAACGTTTTTATTTTTTTACTTTGAGAGGGGAAGGGAAGGAGAAAGAGAGAGAAGCATCAATGTGCAGTTGCCTCTTGAGCGGCCCCCCACCGGAGACCTGGCCTGAAACCCAGGCATGTGTCCTGACTAAGAATTGAACCAGCAACCCTTTGATTCACAGGCTGGTGCTCAATCCACTGAGCCACACCAGCCAGGGTTTACTCTTATTTTCTTAATCAAAAAAATAGAGAAAACTCAATAAGAATGTAATAATAAGAGCTAAATGAGGTGAGTTGTGTACAATGCTTGATGGGGGCCTGTTTACTAGGCACTCAAATGTGCTTCCCTTCCCACTGGGCTCCTGTTCTTTTTCTCCCTTCTCTGTTTTATTTTCTGCAGATGGCATAACATAGTACTATGGACATGCACTTGACTTATTTTCTAGTCCAGGTTCTGCATCCATTAGAATGTTGGCTTTGTGAAGCAGGTGAGGAGGGGAACACATTGTTTAATTCACTGCTGAATCCCAGGCTCAAGCTGGTTGAATGAATGAACTCACTCAATGAATATCATAACTATAATAATATTTCAAAGGGGGTGAGAATAACTAGAAACCCAGAGTTACTATGCATCTTGTTCATATCATAAATAATCAGTGGTTTGACTGGGACAGAGCATTTGATGTGAAAGTGAATGAACCTGAGTTTGAATTTGGCATTCATCACTTCCTAACTACTTTGCCTCTCTTAGTCACAATGAAATATCTCCAGTTTGGAATTTTTGTAAATATTGAGAGTGGTAATATGAAGGACTTTGTGCAGAGCCTGCCCCTTAGTATTTGTTCAATAGATAATTACTATGGAGATCATTGGCTATTAAGTCAATTTTTATTTTAGAGATTTATTAAAGTTATATGGACAACTAAGAAATATTAAAAATGATAGAAATTTATAAATTAAGAAATCTCTTTAAACCTCCAATTTTATTCCTCTGAAGTAACCAATTTTAGGTATGTTCTCTCCATCCTAGTAATTACATGAATTTTAAACTTATATACATATGTACATGGGATATTACATATACTGAATTATACTTTCTGCAACTTGCCTCTTTTCATATTATATGCCTTGGAGATACCTTCACATCATGGATAAACTTTGTCTTTCTCCAAAACGAAAAAAATAAATTCCATCATAAATAATGTATTGTCTTTTAAATGACCAGTCTCCTTTTTTGTTACTCAATCTTGATCTTACAAAAGCCATGCTAAAATTCATGTACATAAGGTTTTGTTTACTGATGTTAAGACACCAGGAAACAGCAGAAAGTATAATTTCTAGGTTAAAAGTGTGTACTTTTTTTTTTTTTTTTTGGTAAGAAGAGTTTCACCAAATTTCTGTTCATGCGTGTACACAATGTGTGAGAATGTCTATCTCTATACCTCACTCATACTGGCTTATACAGAATTTTATTAGCAAGTCCTTTTTTTAATTGGTAAATATCTGAGTGAAGTTTAACCTATTTCTTAAGTATATTAGGCATATATATTTTAAAATATTTCTGATAATGTCCTTGTTTATCTTTTTTTGTATGTTTTTTGTCTATTATTAACTAGTAAGGAAATAGTCTTCTGACATTTGACAATTTAAAACATTTTAAATCTATTTTTAACTTTATTTTTATTGTATTTTTAAATTACCAAAATTTTGAATTGTTATGCCATTAACTTTCATAGTAATTTTCTTTTAAGTATTGCACCATGCTTTGAAAGGCTTTTTCCACTTCAAGAATATAAAATAATAAACAAAACTTGTTCTAACACTTGTATGGTCCTTAAAAATCCTTTAAAACAGTACTTTTAGATAAGCTGATTCATGGAATTTAACACTTGTGAAGTAAAAGAGGAAGAGTAAAGTAAGTTGAGTAAGATAAATATGACAACATATCTAAGAAACAGATGATGGATGTATTATAAGAGTTCTAGAAGAGGGATCACATGGCCCACGTGTTGATCCCAGCTTTATTAACAATAATAGAACTGTGAATTGGGCAATACATAGTAATCATATTCTTGACTTCCTCTCTTTTCAAAGAAAATATAAGTACAGAGTTTATCTATACTCAAGTTGAAGATTAAATCAGATGGTAGACTTAAACTGAAAGATATAAAGCTGCATGCAGTTTCTATATAGTGAAGATTTTTAAATAATTAATTTTTTGCCCTGACTACCATGGCTAATTCATTTAGCATCATCCTGCCAAGCAAAATGTTGTTGGTTCAATTCCTGGTCAGGGCACATGACTGGGTTGCAGGCCAGTCCCTGGTTGGGGCATGCAAAATGCAATCAATAAATGTTTCTCTCCCTCTTTCTCCTTCCCTTCCTCTCTCCTAAAAATAAATAAACACAATATTTAAAAATATAGTTAATTTCATTTTTTTATATTCAGGAAATGAAAAGAATTTTAGTATAATATACATTATAATTCTAGATCTTATAAGTAAGCAAAGGCATAAACTATAAAGATTTAGTGTTAACACATATTGGGGTTTGCTATCTGATAGTTGTTAAACTAAGGAGTTTGCATGTGTTACCTCATTGACCTATAATATCACCTTATTAGGCTCTTTAGACAATTATCTGAGGTCACCTTGCTAAGCATGCCAAAACAAGGATTAAAACCCACATAAACTAACTGAGAACTT